CCCCCTAAATTTTGAAATCACAGAAGAACTCATTTTGGACGGTTATGAGCTGCCTTTGGGGTCCTCTGCCAAAGCAGCTAGTGCTCTTAATCACTGACCCATCTCTCCAGCCCCCTAATTTGGCTGTTTTAACTGGTTTATTGAGGATAGGTGGTCGAACTTGGTTTGCTGGAGCACAGGTTGTGACTCTAAGTTCGGTAAAAACAGGGCTGAAGAGATGGCTCAGCAGGTACAGGGACCTGCTGCCAAGCCTGAAGACCTGATGTTGTGTAGCCATTTCCTCATAATTGGTGCCTGAACAGAGATCAACAGGTGAGTTGGGGAGAATTAATTGCATGGTCCTCACTAAGGGTATCAAGGCATGCCACTGAAGCTCAACAGCCTGAGGGTAGAGCAGCCATGAGGGGAATCCAAATATGGCTACCTTTCCTTATATGGTATGGGACAGTGTGTCTTCTTGCTATGTCAGAGGTTGCACGGCCCCTACAGTGGGTGCTAAGACATACAACCAAGGGTGAGTCGTCTATCCAGAAGGAAAGCCCGGATGAGGGGTCAGAAAGGGAAATCCCAATAAGCTGTCTGTGTGGTAAGGAGGGGCATGACTGTTGATGAATGGAGTCAGGTGTGTGGGTCTAAAGATGCCCTAAAGATGGTTAAAAGTTTAGAACAAAATTTGAAGTCTGTGAGAGAAACACATAAGGGGCAAGAGTATCAATAGACTGCCACAGAGATGGCATGGTCACTGTTATGTATAATATAAACTGTAAGGTGGAGAGGGCTACTCAGTAGGAATTTGCATGTGTAAGAGAGGATGAGATGGAGATGCTGTCTTGCTCTTTTTAAGTCTCCCTGTAGCCCCAGCTGGCCTGAAACTCACAATGTAGACCAGGCTGGTCTTGAACTCAGAGATCTGCCTGTCTCTGCCTCCTGAGTGCAGGAGTGAAAGAGGCCCCCCCCCGGGGGCGGATATTAAGGGCGTGCAATACCATGCCCAGCCTGTCTTGCTGTTTCTTACAGTTGGAAAAGATACAAGAAAAAAAAAGTCTAAGTTAAATGTGTGCTAAATGGGATCCTTCCTTCCTAGAATCCAAAAACTTGGAACCCACGGAAAGCGTCAGATAATAAAAAAATCAAAAAGGGGGAGGGTTTGGTAATTTAAAAAGCAAAGGTACGCAATGTTTGGTATGTTCCCTGGGCCCACTTGCTGTTTCTTACAGTTGGAAAAGATACAAGAAAAAAAAAGTCTAAGTTAAATGTGTGCTAAATGGGATCCTTCCTTCCTAGAATCCAAAAACTTGGAACCCACGGAAAGCGTCAGATAATAAAAAAATCAAAAAGGGGGAGGGTTTGGTAATTTAAAAAGCAAAGGTACGCAATGTTTGGTATGTTCCCTGGGCCCAAGAAGACTGTTCATTTATGAGTTGAAAGAGGTCGATTTATCAGGGACCCCAGTGCTGGTTAGTCCTTTGGTAGGACATGATCTCTGTAAAGTTAGAGAGACTTTAGCAGACCTGAGCAACATGTAAACCAGGTCCATAGGTGCTAAAATAAGTAAAAACAGATTAAAAAAAAGGAAGAAAAGTCAAACCTCTCTTCATGCAGGTGGATTTACACTGAGTTGGAGTCCCTGGGAAAAACTGATGGAAGACCAAATGTGTTGTTGGGGAGCCTTTGGAAGGCCTTAAAGGCCAGACCAGAAGTTTACCAGAGCAGTAAAAAATACAAAAACACACACACACACACACAAAAAAAAGAAAAAAATAAAGGTTCAGGTGATTCCTACTGAATTCTCTGCTTGGAAGAAGGAGGTCTCAGGGGCTGGAGAGATGGCTTAGTGGTTAAGAGCACTGACTGCTCCTGCAGAAGACCCGGGTTCAATTCCCAACATCCACATGGCAGCTATGAACCATCCTTAACTTCAGTTCCAGGGGAATCCAAAGCCCTCTTCTGACCTCTGTGGCATTGCACAACATGGGTGCACTCACATACATGCAGGCAATACACTCATACACATAAAATAAAAAAAATAAAATAAAATTTAAAAAAAGGTGGTCTCCTGGGATGGGAACCTTTCCGAAGAGAGCCAGGAGCACCTGGAAGTGAGGACCATGTAGAGTGAGTGAAAAAGTGTTAAAGTGTACATTTATTGGTCTTCTATTAACGTTAAAAATATTTGGTTTTATATGGATGCTGGAAGTGGCCCCTAGGAATATCAGTTGATAAATATGTATCTAAATACAAGTTAATGGGATTAAGCTTGACCAAAGGATGGGCAGCTGTCTCCCTTCAGTAAACCAAATAAACATTTCTCTCCTGGGCAGAAATAGTTCATGTAGCCAAGGAGGCAGGTATAGGTATAGGCAGTGCAGGTATAGCCAAGGCGGTAGGTAACTATTTCCCCATTTGTCTTAGGACAGACTAAGCAGCTAAGAGCCAGTTCCACTGAGATCATCAGGGGTGGAAAAAAATAGGCAGAGAACTTATAAAAATGCCCCAACATGAGACAATCAGGTAACTGATACAAGTGGGTAAAATATTTTCATGCTGTATTATAGTTTGCCAATGGTTTACTATAATATTTTCTTAGCTATGGACTTTGGTGGTCACCCAACATAAGGAATGGATGACAACAGGGTTTCACCAAGGTTATCTTCATAACCCCACTATCTGTCATGGTACGGTAGTCCAGGACTATAGTTATCCTGTCTATATTGTATAATATTGCATATTGTATTGTCTATAACTATTGTTATCCTATCATTGTATACAGATAACAGATTAAGTGTTCTACAGATTTAGAGACCCATTTGAGATTGGAGTACACCTAAAGGAATACAGATTTTAAAAATCTGTAAACAAGGGTACTACTTAAAGTAAAAACAAGATGTTCTCAAAAGCAATGAGTGTTAGAAATCCCAGTGCTAAGAGTGAGTTACCAGAGGCCCCTAAAATAATAAAAGCTATTGTCAATGCTGTTGGTTGCACTCCAGAGCTATGAATGCTGTGCGCTTTGGTAGCAAATTTGGAGAATGAAGCCATGGCTGAGCTGGACTCCCCTCAATCCCCTTCCTGTGGTCTGCCTGAGGGTGGTGCTGGGGTTGCTAGAGAGAACTGAGGTCTGAGGTCCTGCTCAGCATGGATCCTACAGGTAAGATGTGTCAGCTGCCAAAAAAAAGTGAAAAAAGGGGCCAAGGGTAGTGGCCCCTTTAATGCCGGCACTCGGGAGGCAGAGGCAGGTGGATCTCTGTGAGTTCAAGCCCAGCCTGGTCTACATAGTGAGTTCCAGGCTGGCTGGGGCTACAGGGAGACCCTGTCTCAAAAAGACCAAAAAAAAAAAAAAAAATTGTCAGTTGGTAGAATAGTGGCCCAAGTCACTACTATGGAACCAACTTTCTGATTGACATGGGGCTGACTCCACAGAGAGAACTTCACCTCTGGTTCTAGGAACAGTCATGGGCCCTGGTAGGAAAACCATTACTACATGGCTTTGGCTAAGGCACTTCCCGAGATTAGTACTTATGACCACAGATTATGACTACTGTCAGTGTTCATTTGGGTATTTTTGTTTCTCAATTTCTACTTTTTCTCACATGTGTACAATGTACCACCCAGACTCACCACCAACCATACCCTGGAAACAGAGCTAGAAGTTCTGGGCCCTACTAGAGTTGGGAGGACCATAGTTAGACTTCTCTATCACCCCTCCAGGGCTCAGGGACCACTGAAGAATAGGGAGGCAGAAAGAATGTAAGAGTTGGGGGAAGGAGTGGAGTGTTCTATAGCAATTTCTTCCAAGATACAAGCTTCCATCTTAGAGGGAAGCTCCTTGAGACACAGGATGTTCAAAAGAGGTGAGACATTCCATCCTTTAAGGACACTTGCTAAATTCAGAATGTAAACAGTTCAATAGCTTTGGTAAGTCCCTGAAGCTGACAAGATTCACTAGGCCCCTCCCTCCCCAGGCATAAATGGGCTATGGGGGTTACTGAGAGAGACTCTCAAGACTAGTCAGGCAGCCTGGAACACCCTCCAACCTGCCCAGCTTTCCTGGGCTTTTGGTGATGCAGCTGTTTCTGAGTCATTTCTGCTCCTGTGTAACCTCTTACCCATACTCCCATAAGTAACCCCAATAAACACACTGATTCACCAGGTTGGACTTCGGTGGGTACCCTTACTTTGGTCTGTCATTGGCTCCTTATCTGGAGTAGATGTTTGTTCTCCCTAGGAATAATGTCACATAACATTTGAGTTGACCCAGATGGTGGAAAGAGGGTAGTGACTCCTGAAGTTTTTTTTTTTTGGTCTTTTTGAGACAGGGTCTCTCTGTAGCCCCAGCTGTCCTGGCACTCAGTATGTAGACCAGGCTGGGCTTGAACTCACAGAGATCTGCCTGCCTCTGCTTCCCAAGTGCTGGGATTAAAGGCGTGTGCCACCACGCCTAGCTAAAGTTGTTCTTTTTAACATTCGCTTGTACTGGCGGCATGCACATGCCCACATGTATACACACACACACACACACACACAAATAAATAATAAAGCATATATATGAAAAAAGTTAGCATTCTTGTATAGGCGCCTAAAAGTAGGGCGTAGGGTCTCACAACACCTAGTAACATAACAAGGCAACTTACAGAATGCAAACAGAAAACTAGATAACCAGTTATGATCATAATTAAATTCAAATCCGGTTTTTAAACATAGTAAGGTTTTTGATTTTTTTATATAAAGTTTTTCATTTTAAATAAACTGAAAATAAGGTTTAATAGTGCTGGGCACGATAGCACATGCCTATAATCCTAGCATTTAGAAGGCTGAGGCAGGATTGCCACCAGTTTGAGTCCGGCTAGGGCTATATGGTAAGACCCTGCCTCAAGAAACCAAAATAAATTAAGAAAATAAGTCTTAAAATATGAACACACTACTTCATATTTTAAAATTAAGATGTCTTATGCTAAGATATGTTAAGACATAAGCAAAATGCCTGACTTTGATATTCTTACCCTAGGTTGGTCAAGTTTATCCCATACTTCTGTACCACTTTCAGACTTTTTCCAAGGGTTATTCCATTTTTGAGAAGCTTCCTTTTCTTTCTTCTTTAGAGCTACCTGTTCATCTGTAAATAATGCCCCTTTTTAAAAAAAATGTATAAAAACTGTAAAAAATGAATCATGTAAACAAATTATGACTTTTTAACAAGTATAGACTGCAACACAGATTTAATCAAAATGGTTTTTAAGGGAGATTAATTCATAAGGCAGAGAGGAACTTTTAGGGATATGGTATAAAAGAAACCATTTAGAGCCAGGTGTGGTGGTACATGCCTGTCATCCCAGCACTGGGCACTGCAGAGGCAGGCAGATCTCTGTGAGTTCAAGGCCAGCCTAGTCTACATAGTGAGTTCCAGGCCAGCTCCCACTACAGGGAGACAATGTCTCAAAAACACCAAAAAAAAAAAAAAGAGAGAGAGAAAGCATTTAAACAGAACCACACTTAAGTATAGCACAAATAGATACAAAATACTTATTTACTGCAATTATCAGTAATGTGGAACCATATTTTCAGAATAATTAGTATTATCAGAAACTTCTGTGTCATTCATTATCACTAACAGAGTTAAAAACTAAACTCTAGGGTCACCTTCAAGTGCAACAATTTACTTTCTAGCTTGGTGACTGGGCAAAATGCTATTTACCTAAAACTTGGCTTCCTCTGTAAAATGGGGATAGTATTTGCCAAATTTAGTGTAGAGTTAGCATGAAGAAGAATGTCCAGCCATTTTTCATACTTGTGGAAGGTAAAATAAAGCTCTAACAGTTTAAACTAACTTGTCCTGGAGAGCAGAGGACAACATTCAGGAGTCAGTTTTCTCCTTCCACTGCAGTTGGAGAGATTGGACTCAGGTCATCAAGCTCTACTTGATGAGTGCGTAGAGCCACGTGCTTCTACGCACTAAGCTATCTCACCAGCACAGAGATGTATAAATTCAAATTCCAAGAAAATTAATGAACACACAACTTAGAGATGTCCTTTACTAATGGTATCAAGTAAAATACATAAACTGTTTACAACAATATAAAAGCATAAAATGCTTGTCATTCAGTTCTAAGAAGGAACATCTTGTTTAAGAAGTAACGTCTTGTTTTAGAAGGATGGTATTGTATTTGCTAGGTTAAATGTATTAAATGAACTGTTTTAAAAAAACTTTTTTTAAATTTGATATGTATGAATGTTATGCCTGCATGTATAGCAATACCTGCTGAGCATAGAAGAGGGTGTTGGAGTCCCTGGAACTGGAGTTAAGAACGGTTAGCTGCCATGTGGATGCTCTTAACTGCTGAGTCATCTCTCCAGCCCTTAAATGAACTATTTAAAGCTGTAATTGTGATATAAACACAAATCCTTCCTCCAAACCTTCCAATATTGCTACTACAATTTTATGCATTGTTTTTGTCATCTTAACACTCAGTATCAATTCATCCCTTATTTCAGCTGTTTATTACTTTTCTATTTATTTATTTTTATGTGTATGAGTGTTTTGCCTGCATGTACATGAGTGTACCCATGTCACTCAGTACCCTCAGAGGTGAAGAGAAGGCATTTGCAGAGAACTACAGAGGTCAAATGTTACCAAAAAAGGCTAGATAATATGCTAAAAGATAACTAAATATTCCATAAGCCAACAAAACTATAATAAAAGGTATAAAAATTACCTAGCTCTTTTTTCCACTGGGCTCTTTTTGCTTCCAACAAACTTCTATCACGTTCCCTTTCCCCCAGAGTGCTGAATATGCCAGCTGGTTTCCATTCATTCTCTCTAAGGCAAAACATAAAAAACCCAGAAACCTTATCATTATGTTTCTATATGAATGGCTGAGTATGTATTAAGCAATAAGCATTTAAATAGCCAAGTCTTCAGAGTATTTCACACACAAGCAAAGGAAAAGCAAAACACACTCCCCAGAAAGCACAGAAAACAGATGTGAGTCACATACCTGGTGACTTTCTGCTCACACTCTATAGCTGCCTCTTGATCTTTATTGTAGACATGTTTGTTTTCATTTGGGGTAGGTGAAACAATTTCAGTTTTCTGAAGTAATTCTATAATGTTCTCATCTTTTGGTTGATTAGGAATATTGTTTAAATGTAAATTATCTTGACCTAGGAAATACAGTACATGTTTTAAAATTAACACTGAATGCATCAATTATATACCTAAACCTGGCATATTCCATATAGTTTAAAGATAGCAGTCTTAACAGCTATGGTGGCCCCTACCTGTAATGTAACCAGCACTCAGGAGGCAGGGGCAGGAAGGATCACTGGGAGTTTGAGGCCAGGGTAGGGATGCAGAGTAAGACCCAGTCTCAAGAAATAAAATCAGAGACAAATTATATATTATCTAATTTAACTCTTACAACAATCTTTGAGGTTAGTATCTTCCAAAAAAAGAAAAACTGCAGGTATGCTGGTACACACCTATAATCCTAGCATTCAGCAAGCAGAGGCAGGAGGATGAGGAGTTCAAGGCCAGCCTTGACTACATACAGAGTTCAAGTCAGCCTGGGCTACAAGATACCCTGTCTCAAAACAGAAAACAAAACAAAAAAAAAACAGACTGGAGAGGTAGCTCATTTGATACAGGCTGCCTGTCTAGCATGCACAAAGCCCTAGGTTTGAGCCCCAGCACCACATAAACCTGCATGATACTACATACCTATAATCTCAGCACCTAGAAGGTAAAGGGAGGAGGATCAGGAGTTCAAGACCATCCTCAGCCATGAGACAGAAGCCAGCCTGGGCTATGAGACATTATTATTATTATTATTATTATTATTATTATTATTATTATTTTATCTTTTTGAACTGGCCTTGAAATCACAGAGATCTGCCTGCCTCTGCCTCCTGAGTGCTGGGATTAAAGGCATGCACCACCATGCCCGGTGAGACCTTATTTTTAAAAAAGATAGAAATAGAGGTCCTGAGATTAAATAGCTTGCTCATGGTCACAGCCATACAACGTTTTGTATCAAATAAGAAAGAAAACAGCAAAAAAACAGAAAAGCAGGGGCTAGGAACATAAGTGAACTAACAGAATGCTTGCCTAGTATACACAGCACTCCAGGTTAACATGACCTAATAAAAATGTGATACTTCTAGTTCTTTCATATTCACAATTCCTTAGCTCAAAGCTGAAATTAGGTTTTTAAAACAACACTGACTAGTAAACAGAAAGCCTACACTACCTTACTATTCCTATGAATAAAACTGAATTACACTAGTTAAAGTCAACACGGTATAGTCAACCTTTGTATGAATGGAAGAACAATGTTTTTCAGTGACTCAAGTCCTCACAGTAAGGTTTTCTTAAGTTTCATTTGAAACACCAAAGGCTTATCTTTTTCAATAATTTTAGGTAATTATTATTTTCTATTTTTGAGACAGGATTCCAATATGTAGCCCCAGCTGGCCTTCAACCTGTGCCACTCTTCCTGCCTCAGCCTCCCGAGTGCTGGGACTGCAGGTGCACACATCTGGCTTATGTAAATAACTGCTGAGTCATTGCTCTAGTCCAGAAATCAGTTACCTTAAGATTTATCTATTTTGAGTATTAATCTTAATATATGACATAACTGGGGCTGATGACTCAGCACTAGCTGCTCCTGCAGAGGACCTGGGTTCACTCCCCAGCATCCACATGGTGGCTAACACTGCCCATAACTCCAGTTCCAGGGGATCCAATACCCTCTTCTGTCATCTGTGGGCATTATACACATGTGGTACACTTACATACATGTAGGCAAACACTCATACACATAAAACAAAACTAAACAAATTTAAATGACATAACTATAAAAGCAATTTTACATATTAGTCTTCTAAAAGAATAATTACTTAAAAGGCATTTACAAAAAAAGCCAATGAATCTGAAATTCTAAAGCACATATTGAGAAAATTAATAGTCAACAAAATTGAAGAAAAATCTTACTTGTTTCCTCCTTCCCATTTTCAATTAGAGAAATAGACCCATTTCCTTGGTTTATAGTCCTTAGAATCTGACGCAGTTGGTCTTGTGTGAGACACACTAAACTGCTATTCATGTTTTCAGCTGTAACGTATTTTTCAAAAGGCCCCTGTTTAGCCTCTAGACATGATTCTGTGGCATCTCTAATCTTCTTTATATTAGAAGTTGCAGGTGAAATCTCTTTCTGGACATGAAGACAGTCTTTATCTGCATACTGCTTACATAAGTTCTTAGTGGGTGAACATGTCAGTTTACTTTTTTCACAATTTGCCTGTAAAATTTCAGAACCAATTATCTTCTTTTGTAAGTGAGTTTCATTCCCAATGTAAGTATTTTGAGTTGATTTCAGAATACGTCCAACTTGTTTTGTTCTTAAAGGACATTTTGCAATCTTGATCTTATTTCCCATCTGTGAAGACAGCAGAAGTCCATTCTTTTTAACAGTCCATGAAAAAAATCTGACATGATCTTTTTTGTTTTGAGACAGGGTCTTGCTATGTAAGCCACACTGGTGTTGAACTTGTGATCCTTTTGCCTCTGCTTCCAGAGTTCTGAGATTACAAGTGTAAACCACTATAACCAGTTAACAATCGTCTTTATTTGAATAATCTGTGATAAATTAGGCCTCTAAACTTTTTCATTTTGCTATTATTTAGATTCTATAGCCATAAGATATTGTTTACTTTTGCAGACCTTCATTTGAAAGCTTCACTGAGAAAGTATTATTTTAATTCCAGGTAATGAAGAATACAAATAAAATTCTAAGTTACAGGTCACCTACGCTCTGCTGTAGTTCTGGATTTCCTATCAATAGACTTATAGTACTCCCTCCCTCTTTTCTCACATCCATCTGTAGACTGTAGGCTACTAGCCCTTACTCCTTAACTATGTTGGCTTTTTGTCACCCTCTCTTTTTAAAAATATTTTAAAATTTTATTTATTTTTATTTTCTGTGTATGAGTGTACTGCCTGCATGTATGTAGGTGCACCTGTATTGTGTAAGGCCCATGGAGGTCAGAAAAGGGTGTTGGATCCCCTGGAACATGTTAGCAGCTATGCAGGTGCTGGGAATCGAACCCTGAACTCTTGCAAGAACAGCCAGTTTTCATAACCGCTGAGCCATCTCTCCGGCCCCTGTCACTCTCTTAAGTTCTGTGTTATTACTGTGTTCACATTCACACAGGCTGTTCCCACCTCCTGACCTTTCATTTCCTTAAACTCTGCTCCTGTGTTCTCCAAGTGAATTCACCTATCCCCCCAGTGATCTTACACTGACCTTGTTAACTCCCCACGTTGCAACCTCTCCATGATGTTTCAAGCAAAGGACAATAACCACCACCTCATTTTCCAACTCACTCTCCCATATCCCAATTCCAAAAACTGTTTATCTGTGCTAGAATCTACCATATTTCATTTACCTAGACTCTATCTTATCACCTCCCCCTTGCTCTCATTTCCCTTCATAACAATCTTAAATTCCACCATCAACCAGCACCATCTCTTTTCCATTCTTTGTTCTGTTTTCTGTCACACATACTGAACAAATCCCAACTCTAGCAACTCTTCCCTAGTCTATGACTGCATCATGGAGAAACCAAGCTGACTGGCTTCACTTACATTCATAACCAAGAACATTGAATAGGATCTCCATGTTACCTGGCAGTCACATCTCCCATGTCCATTTACTCTCTCACTCTTTTAGTAATTATTCAATCTTCTTGTTCACAAAACTCCTAATATTTTCTTCTTCCACTCTACTCTCAGTTGAAGATCTGAATATTTCACTGAAAATCTTATACAAAAGTATTCAGAAGACAACTTCAAGATTCTGTCATTAAATCTGTGCTGGCATTTGTACTTAACCTGCTTGTCCTTATCTACAATCTAAGCCTTTCCTGAGAGAGGTTCTCTCTCCCTAGAAATTCTTTACTTCCTTCTGAAACACATCTTTTTCTCCTTTTCAGCTGTATCACAAGCATCTGAATACAAACATGATGCTATTATTTTACCATCTTGAAAAACTCCTGATCTTAAGCCAGGCCTGGGGATGCAGGCCTGTAATTCCAGCTATTCCAGAGGTTGAGGCAGGAGGATCACAAGTTCAAGGCCAGTCTAGGCAACTTAGTAAGACTGTCTCAAAAAGTAAAACAGCTCAGTAGTAGAGAACTTGCCTACTGTGACCTGGACCCCAATACCAATATCATCACCACCACCATCATCATCTTGATTTTATTTTGTCTTTTTAATCAACCAAGCTTTTACCCATACCGCTCCACCAAAATGGCTCAGGGTCCCAAACGTCTATACTGCTAAATCTAGTCAGAACAGTATAGTGCTCTCAACTGCTGAGCCAACTCTCCAGCCCCTGCACCCAGTTTTTAGACACTTGCTCTGGCAGTTGGAATTCATTTTCTCATGTTTATGTGGCAAGCACTTTACCGACAAAGCTATTTCTCCAGACCCCCAATGGAGTTCTAATAGAAACTTCAAAGTTAGCATCTCCAAAGCTGAACTCATCTCCCTTCTGCCCTCAGTAACTTCCTCCCCATCTCAGTTACCCAGGCCAGTTTTTTTGCAGTTCTGACTCCCCATGCATGTACTTCATTTAATCTGTCATCACACACTCCTTTGCTGCATCTTCAAAACATATTCCAAAAACCTGACCACCCCAAGCATCACTCCTTACTCCTTTGCCCCAAGGTATTATTTTTCTTCTTCTTTTTTTGGTCTTTTTTCAGACAGTGTCTCTCTGTAGCCCCAGTTGGCCTGGAACTTTGCAGACCAGGCTGGCCTTGAACACAGAGATCGACCTGCCTCGGCCTCCAGAGTGCTGGGATTAAAGGCATACACCACCATGCCCAGCAGGTATTGACTTTCATCTGAATCACTGCAACCTGTTAACTGCTATCCTTGCTTCCCAGTTATCACAGGAGGAACCAGTGCTTTCCCTATCTTAGTAAAATCATGTTGCTATCTTCAAAAGCCTCCCACGATCTCTTGTACTTGGAGGCAAAGAGCTGAACGTCTCACAGTAACTTACCCTTACCACTCTGACCTCCATTAGCTCTTATATCTGATCTCATTTCTTTTTTTTTAAAAATATTGATTTGCAGCTGGGCGTGGGAGGCAGAGGCAGGTGGATCTCTGTGAGTTCAAGGCCAGTCTGGTCTACATAGTGAGTTCTAGGCCAGCTGGGGCTACAGGGAGACCCTGTCTCAAAAACACCAAAAAAAAATATTGATTTATGAGGGGAGGGGTTAGAGGACAACTTTCAGGAGTTGGTTCTCTCCTACCATATGGTTCCAGGGGACCAAACTTAGTTCATCGGGCTTGGCGGCAAGCACCTTTAGCTGCTGAGCCATCACCAGTCCCTGACCTTGCCTTCTATCTCTGTCTCCTGCCAAATGAAACCTTAGCACTAGTCAGTCTCTATTCCTAGAATGCTCTAACTTCAGATTCAACATGGCTCACTGTCCCTCACTTCCTTCCAACCTTTGCTCAGTGAGGCTTTCCCCAACCACCTGTTCTGGTCACCCTCCCACCTCTGTAGCATTACTTACTCCTTCCACGGTTTGCTATGTGCTTATGGTGATCTTGCTCTGCCCATTTTTCTCCGCACACTTGCCCTGTAATATTTACTTACTTTTCTCAGTTCTGTGCATCTCATACCATTCTAATATAAACTCCAAAGAAAAGATTTTGTCTATTTTCTTCACCTCTCTTTACCCTGTACCCCCAATGTGATGGTACAGGGCAGGCATTCATTAAAATTTGGTTGAATAACTTATGCCACAAATTCTTTATTCTTATCCTCAAATTAGCCTCCCTTTCAAAAACATTCCATTTCTGCAGCACCACTGCTATAATCTCAGACCAGTGACTACAGAGTCATCTTTGACCCTCATCCTCCAGGGTCTTCCTTAGCTAATTAGTATATACTGACTGTTTCTTATTTTGAAATATCTTTATCTTATTTACATGATGACAAGCCCAAGTTCTGGTTTTCACTACTAAATTACATCTTGCCTATCTCACCTATCCTCCATTTCATCTACTAAATCCCATTACAATAATTCAACAATCTTGTAAACAATGCTGTGTTGCTTAACAGTATAAGAAGTGCTGGGAACACAAAAATGATTAGGAAAAGATCCTTGCTGTCAGATTACTACTTAGGGCTTAGATGCCCTAAGAGCTTTCTCATCTGTTTTATCATACCCAAATTTTCCTTCTCTTTCAAGAAACTCCAAGATATACAAACCACACTGACCAGTCAATCTCTTTTCACCCCACTTTCCAAAATAAACCTTATAGCATCAGTTATGAGATTGTTTTTATTAAACTTGTCATCTCACTGTTTATTCTGGTTTGGTTTTGTTTTTTTAAATTCTTATTATTTTATGTGTCTGAGTGTGGGTTTGTGTACATGAATGCAGTACCTGCAAAGGCCAGATGAGGGAGTCGGAACTCCTGGAGCTGGAGTTACAGGCAAGTGTGAGCTGCTCCCTGTGATGCTGGAGACCAGCATTTCTACAAGAGCAGTATGTGCTCTTAACCACTGACCCATCTCTCCAGCTCTGGCTTGAGGTGTTTTTTTTAAACACCAGTATATCAAACTCCATTTTACCTTTGTATCCCTGTAGCTATTTTAATAACTGTAAAGTGAGGAGTGGCAAACTTACTATGAGGTAGACCGAATGGGAACTGGGATGATGTGAAGGGCATTTTCCCCATCTACCATCATTCAGATACTGCTGTACAGAACACAGCCTAGTTGCAAGATCATCCAATATTTTAAGAGAAGAATGCCAGTTACTACATTAAATTTTCATTTTATGACATTGGCAAGACATTCTAGTTTTTTTAAAAAATATTTTATTATTTTGATTTTATGTGTGTGAGCTTGCCTTGCATGCATGTGAGTGCACCCTTGTCATGCAATGCCGCAGAGGTCAGAAGAGGGCTTCGGATTCCCCTGGAACTGGAGTTAAGGACAGTTTGTAGCGCCATGTGGGTGTTGGGAATCAAACCCAGATCCTTTGCAAGAGCAGTAAGTGCTCTTAACTACTGAGTCATTGGCAAGACATTCTAGTTTTTTAAATATATTTTGTTATTTTTATTTTATGTGTATGAGTGTTATGCCTGCATGTAGGTAAGTGCACCCGTGTCGTGCAATGCCCGTGGGGATAGAAGAGGCCGTCGGATCCCCTGGAACTGGAGTTATGGACAGTTGTTAGCTGCCATGTGGGTGTTGGGATTTGAACCAGGTCTTCTGCAAGAACAGTCAGTGTTCTTAACCGCTGAGACATCTCTCCAGCCCAACATTCTAGTTTTTAAAAAGCCACTTGTGAATCAAGCAAATTTTCAACATACTACTTCTGGCTCAAGTAACTGAAACCTACCCCTCAGCTCATCTCCACTGCTAATCTCTCATGCTCTTCTTTTGGTCATAGGAGCCTTTTCTGTATAACAGGCGAGAATTTTTTCCTCTAAACAGATTATCTCACTCAATCTGCTAAGTTGGTGCTTTCCCTTAACAGATGCTGAAAGCCTCTCATTTCTGTCTCCTTTTCATGGCTCTAACTACAGTCTGTTAGTGCTTCGCCAGGTTCTTCCTAGATGCCATAACTGGCAATTAACAGGTCTTCCTGTTTTGATAGTCTATCTTCCAGAACTACCTACTGCCTTTTCTTAAAAATGCTACTTCTGGGGCTGGAGAGATTACTCAGTGGTTAAGAACACTGGCTGTTCTTGCAGAAGACCCGGGTTTGAATCCCAGCACCCACATGGCAGCTAACAGCTGTCAGTAACTCCAGTCCTAGGGGATCTGACAGCTTCTTCTGACCTCCGGGGGCATTGCACAACATGGGTGCATATACCTACATGCAGGCAATACATGCATACACATAAAAATAATAAAGAAAAAAAAAAGAAAAATTGCTACTTCCCGGGGCTGGAGAGATGGCTTAGTGGCTAAGAACACTAACTGTTCTTGCAGAAGACCTGGGTTGGAATCCCAGCATCCATGTGGCAGCTAACAAATGTCCATAACTCCAGTTCCGGGGGATCCAACAGCCTCTTCTGTCCTTTGCAGGCTTTGCACAACATGGGTGCAGGCAATACACACAGACACATAAAAATAATAAAATATTTTTTAAAAATTGCTACTTCCCTTGTGAAAAATTATTTAATGAGCTGAGCTTGGTGGTGCATGCCTATTCTGGTACTGGGAGGCTAAGGCAGGAAGATAGTGAGTTCTAAGCCAGACTGAGTTGAAATCGCATCTTTAGATGTAAGCCACATCAGTTCAAGGTCCTTGAACACACATTCAAACTCTTCCACCTAAGTTTTATGTCTCCTATTCCCACAAGATACACACCATTCTCCAAATTAGCTTGCATTTCCTAACATGGTATTTTGCTTACTATTTTCTGTGAGTTTGGGAATATAGTTCCCATTTCTTTAACTATAAATCTCTCCTTCATCTTTTAAGTTCTAATTAAATGCCACCTCATTTATGATGTATTTCCTGGTGTCCCCAAATCAGCAAGAGTCACACTTTCCAGTGTCTTTTCCTTTCTAGATATAACCCTCCCCTAGCACTCATATTATTCTTGTTATGTTGCAATTATTTATCTACCAGATACTCTTACCTCTGGAAAACAAGGATGAGCTTTACTGTTTCCCTCTCAGTAAGAGAGCAAATAAAGCCAAAATGGAGCCCAGTGTGGACTAGAATTTTACAACTACAGAAAATCTGTTGGAACATAATCTACTTACTGGAGTTCCAATTTGACTAGGATTATTTTGCCACATTTTAATTACCTCAGAAATACATTTTTAAAAGTCTTCTAAAAATATTTATTTAAAAAGAAAAACCCTAGGGTTGGGAGAGATGTCTCAGTGGTTACGAGCATTTGTGGCTGCTCTTCCAGAGGACCCGGGTTCAGCTCTCAGCACCACAAGGCAGCCGAGCAACTATCCATAAATCCAGTTCCAAGGTATCTGAAGTCTTTTAGCCTCTGTGGACACTGCATATATGGGTGCACTTACATACATGCAGGCAAAGCACACATAAACTAAATAAATAAAATTCTTATTTTAAGAAAAAACCCTGATGGTTTGGTATGTTGTGGTCAATGTACAATAGTTCAGTTCTAAACACCATTTATAGCTTTACTGCCACAGAGGAAAAATGAAGGGAGACTGCAAAAAATCATCGATTTCCTAATAAAGATTCAGTTATGTTCAGGTTATTGAGTAAGAAAAGCAACCTTGACAAATCACTTCCCAAGTGTTTAGTTGATGAGATTAATTCTAATTAATCAAATGAGGCCTTTGTCATAAAACATTTTTATACTATTCTGCTCTTTTACCTACTTCTATCAATATTTATTACATTACAAAGACAATGTTCAAGTTGGGGAGATGGCTCAGTGGTTAAAGTTCCTGCCCTGCAACTGTGAGGATCATGCTTGGATCCCAAAACACACATCAAGGTTGGTTGGGTGTGGGGCTCACTTGTATTTCCAGTGCTTAGAAAGTAGAGACAGGGGCTCTTGGGAACAAGCTGCTTACTAGGCTAGCTATATTAGTGAGCTCTGGGTTCAATTAAGATACTCTCTTAATAAATAAAACCAACGAAAAATGCTATTTTACATGTGAAAAAAAGTAGGGTCAAAAGTCATTTGGCTTACCTTCACAGAAATTTTTGATTTACGCTCTACAAAAGAAAATAAAATTACTAAACTATCAACCAAAAACATAGTAAGGCAGTCACAAAATAAAATTTTAAGTATTGTTTAAGATGCTAGAATAGAAATACTATCCCTGAAAGTGTTAACCTTAAGTACTGCTAGAGTATTCCCACTTTTACAATGTGGTAGTTCAAGTATTAATTTCCATTTCATTTTTATTTTAGTTTTCTTTCCAAGGTAAATTTATAAACAGACTGTGGTGGGAGGCAGACAAATAACTTGATGAAGAAGACTATCAAAGTACAAGAGTTTAAGAATTCATAGTGACTTTAGCAACTATAAATCTAACTTCCTCATTCAAAAGTTTATTTACACTCAAGGAACAAAATTACTTAAACTCTGCCTGTATCATTCATTAGGCAATAAGATAACAGCCATATGTAAACACCAAAACACATGGAATATATTTTATGAATCTGAATACTGAGAGACGTGCTGCCACAATCTGACTTTACTAAGAGAAAGCTTTTTTTGAAGTGTCATTTAAATATCTCTATTACAAGCAAAAAGTCTGGTAAACTACTACACATTTCACATGCAAATTTAAAAGTTAATATTTTAGATTTCTAACAACACAGCATACCATATGGAGACAGTATCAGCTTAGTTTTTCCATCCAGTAATTCAGTTTCAAGCTTTAAACCATCTCTGCAATATAAAAGGTGGTCTGTCATTTTAATAGCAACATTTTAGATAACCAGAAATATTCATGTGAACATTGAAAGTACACCTATTCCTCTGCATACAAGAATTATGTGCAGATTAAAGCAGTTTTGTTTAAGATCTTTAAAGACATAGCTCATGTAGCCCAGGCTAGCCCTGAATTCCCAATCCTTCAGCCTGAACCTCCCTCAAAGTAGTCTTTGAATTTAAAATATTTTCCAATCCAAGAGAAGAAAAATTTTCAGTAATGTCATTTTTAAGCGGAAACTTAATTTTTGCTATTGGTAAGCAATAAATGAATGAGTGCAGTTATTACACTACCCTTTAACTTGTAGCTCTATACTAAAAGTATCATGCACTTACCAAAATTACTAAGTTAAAAGGGCAAGACATATTAATTTCCATTTATTAGTTATGTGATGATCTCATAACTACCATATTCTACGGAGGGCTGGGGCACCAGAAAATAAGTCTAACAATGTCACCAAGGTTATCAACTGTTTAAGCATAGACTTCCACCCTATTTGGTATACTTCAAGTAATTTAGTGACTTTCTTGTTCCTATCACAATAAATGTACCACGAACTTTGACTAATAGTTTGTATGTGCGACTCAAAAGCACAGGCATGAAGAAACAGTGAACACTACCAACAAAACCTGTATTCTCTGTTAGGTCCTCAATAAAAACGCCACTGAAAACAAAAAATAGCCTTCCGCACAGTTCACTCTTTCAGTGGAGGACGGGGGACAGTATGGATCAACTCACAGTAACTTCGCAAAGTGAGGTTCAAGAGATAAAACCAAACCAAGCAGTCATGAGAGAGGGAGGATGAGAAAGGTCTGACTAGTAACTCCAAATTTACAGTGTTGCTTTGGTGGAGGAACTCAAGATGCTTCAACCAGCTAAAGAAAACACCTCCAAGAAACAGGTTCAGGCTAAGGGTTTCCCTGGAGCAGGATTATTGGCAGCTCGTGTTCACGTGAGCGAAACGAAATAAAGCCAGGGGGAGGGCGGACGGAAGGCAGCGTCTCAAATGGAACTGTCAAGTACTCGAGGGGCAGGCTGTCCGGTGTAGGCAGTTCCCAGATGAGAACACAACACTCTTCCGCGGGACCTGCAGCTCTTCCCCAGCAGCACCAGCTCGGGTCCCTCACGAGGTCCGAGCGGTCTCGGCGCCCCGCGGGACCGGTCCACCCTCCCCGGGCTCGGGAGCCGCAGCCGGCCGCGGTGCGGCCAGGCGGCCCGGGCCTGCCGGGAACCTCCGCTGCGCTGCGCTCCGGGACGAAATCGCGCTAGTCCTGCGAGCTCGTCCGGGCCACGGGCCGTGGCTGAGGCGCCGGGCTCGGTCCTCCGCGTCTCCACCCCCCGCTGCCCCATTCCGCACCTCCCTCAGCTTACCCCAGGTTCATGGCCTCACGCCCCCTCAGAGGGTCTCCCAGGCCGCTGTGTACCCAGGCGCTGCTCAGCAAGCACTACGCCGATTGGATCGTGGGACCGGCGAGCGGAGACGACGGACCAATCAGAGTGGCGCATGCTGGCCGGTGCGTTGGGCGCGCCGGCCTCTGGGACGCGAGTCACGGGGGAGGTGTGCGGTAGCCTAGGCTCTCCCCGAGCCTTCCGGGAAGCGCCTCGGCGTAAGGTGAGGTCTCCAAATTCGGAGACACTGAAAGCTCAACTGTCTTATTTTACGTGTCCACACAGCGTTGTTAGTTCAAAACAGTTGAGGGACTGGGGATCCAAGGCTCAGAGGGGGCGGGGCTTGTCGCTTGGTTTGACCCTGGCGACGAGCCTGTCGAAGGAAGCGCTTTAAATAGCCACATGGACCTAAGCGGGCAGGTGCCGTCTACGTCTAACAATCTTGTCTCTGAGGCAGAGGGAGGTAGAGTGGCCTAGGCCACTGACCGCTGAACAATGTAACACCACAGTCGGTATCCCTGTCCCATGTATACGTGTGAATGACTCCTATTCAAGCTGCAAGTCTCCATCTAAATGGAAAATAAAGTCCTTCTGGAATCCCTCATTGGGTAGATTAGGAGCCTTTCCATCATGTCACGCAATGCTTTTGGGATTCTGTTCCAACGTGAGCTTCAGAGAGAGAGAGAGCTATTTGATCTCTTGTACACTTAAAAAAAAAAAGATTTATTTTCTGTATATGAATGTATTGCCTGCATCCATTGTAAGTGCACCCGTGTCATGCAATACCCGTGGAGGTCAGAAGAGGGCTTCGGATCCCCTGGAACTGGAGTTATGGTTGTTAGCCGCTATGTAGGTACTGGGAATTGAACCCAGGTTCTCTGCAAGAGCAGCCAGTGCTCTTAACTGCTGAGCCACCTCTCCAGCCCTGTCTAGTAGCCGCAGCACCCGACCCTGCAGCATAAACAGTATTTATTAAATGAATGGCTAGCAAAATCAGTGCCAACAATGGCCTGTATTAGATCTGGCCAGGTGCTCAGTGTCCCTAGATTATACTGCAGCTGCTAAGATCTCAAGAGTTTATGTATCTGCTTGTCCGATTTTGTTAAACTACAAATGATTAAAAATGAGGCACATTAAAGTCTCATGGTACACTCAGAGAAAACTCAGATCTTTTCATCATTTGTACTCTGTAAGATACAGTTAAATAAGCATAGGTTTGGCCTAGTAGATTTAAACAAAAACCAAGCTGGGTGGTGATACTGGTGATCCCAGCTCTTGGGAGGCTGAGGGAGGCGAAAAGAATTCAAGACTAGCCACTTGTACATAAGACCCTGCCTCAAAAAAAGGGTTTCAAAAAAGGCAGAAATGGAGGGGGAAAGGGAAGGAAGGATGAAGGGAGAGTACATTTGACAGTGTTTCAAGGGATTCTACTACAGGCATGGTGGTATTTGAGTGTAATTCCAGCACTCAGGAGTAGTTCAAGGCCAGCCTGGTCTACAGAACAAGTTCCAGAACTTCTTGTCTTTATTTTTCATTTTACTTATTTTTTGGTCTTTTTGAGACAGGGTCTCACTGTAGCCCCAGCAGTCCTGCAGTCCTGGAACTCAGTATGTAGACCAGGCTGGCCTTGAACTCACAGAGATCCACCTGCCTCTGCCTCCCAAGTGCTGGGATTAAAGGCATGTGCAACCACACCGGGAACATGTCTTTAAAAAAAAAAAAAAAAGCCCCATGTGGTGGTACAGGCCTTTAGTCCCAGCACTCCGGAGGTAGAGGCAGACAGATCTCTGTGAGTTCATGATGGATCCAAAGCCCCCAGAATAATGGATTTAAACTAAAATCCCCCAGGCCTGAGAAAAACTGTACAAGGAAGTAAAAATGAAAAATAATTCTAAATGCTAAGAACAAGCTGAGCTGACCTTTTTCATGCTCCTCTGCCCAAGTTGGAAATCATCCCAGAAATTCCCCCTACCTCTGCTTGGCACATAGCCACCGCTTTTCTGCTTGGCACATAGCCGCCGCTTGTCTTTAAAAGAAACCTGTGAACTGAGCTCTGGGCTTCTATCCTCCGAGTGAGGTGGGAGTCCGTTTTGCAAAACGCCAATAAATCCTCATGCTTGTTGCATCTCCTGATTTGAGGACTGAGTTATTGGGGTGCAACCTCCCGTGAATGTTGGGTACCCAAGTCTGGGGGTCCAACAGAATAAAAGAGTTATGTAATAAACGATGCTAACACAACTATCAAGTCACAAAAACAAAGTAAGCCTCTACCTCATGCAACGTAAATTGTTTTGTTTTTTAAAAAAGACTCAGCTACAAAGCAAAACCAAAATAGTGTAATATATGAACACCCAGGGTATGCATGACACAGAGGTGAGGCACAGCTTCCTGGTGGAAACTGGAACTCCAAAAGCTTTGGTACATTTGAACACAAATGAATGAAGCCATTTCTCTGGGAAGGATACCAGGTACAAAGAAAACACGGTTGAAAAGTCTGTGGTGTGAAAGGTGAGAGTTAGTGTCCCTAGCATGCAACAAGCTCTTCCAAATGGACAGGGGTGAGACAACTGTCTGCCAAACCAGCCTGCACTGCCTGCCTGCTGGCCACTTGCTCTGTTTCCATCTTTCTATCTTGAGGAGTCGTCTCATCTTTAGACAGAGTTCAGAATCTAAAATGGTATTATTTCATAGCTCTTTAGCTGTTAAAGGTTAGACAACGGTGACTTCACTGGTGACAAAACAGTTATCTTTCCCTGCCCGTCTGAGAATCAAACATTCCTCACCTCTTGGCACCTTTTGAACTGAAAGAAGAATGCTCTCATTCATTGCTTTTCTTTCCTTATTCTTCTGTTAGAGATTGCTTGCATGTTTCGATGAAGCCCTAAATTTTGTGTTTGTTTTAAATAAAACTCAGTGCTGCTTTGCTTTGCAGAGTAATTCCCTGTCTCAGTTTCATAGTTTAAGATGAGGTTTGTTAGTCACAGTGGGCCGGTCTTTTATTTAGAAAATTTATGCTAGGTTTGAAAAGAAAAAAATAATGACCCAGAGTTGGCAAGACAGGAGGAAAATAGAACTTCATCATGTGTCTGAGACTATACTCACTATGGCCAAGAAAGAACTATTTTAATTCAAACTCTGCTTTCCTTTCCTAAAATATTAATCTAGACTGAAGGCAATGTGTGCTGAAGCTGCCTCTACTGAAACCCAAATTTATAACCCACAGAAATTCCAGGGACCTGTCGTGCAAAGGGCTGGACAGAAACATCAGTTTTCTTTAAAAACAATCTAGTGAGAAAAAACAGATAGTGTTAAAGAATATCTGCTCTAGTCTGAGTTTCTTAACAAGTGCCTTATTCTGGAACCTCAATTTCCTCATTTGTAAAATGGGAAGGAAATTAGTATTTACTTAACAGAACTGTTTTGGAGATAAAATCAGAGAATGTACATACTCCTGCCAAGAGCCTGGCTTATCGTAGATCTCAGCAAACATGCCTTGTTATTATTTTGTTCTTCTAGAAAGCCGTGAGGCCTGGGTTAGGACAGTGGCTGCATTCCCACCTCTCTTTCAGGCCACTCTCCCTCTGCTACTCAATACAGAGAGCCCACAGAGATGTTCAAAGTGTCTCTCAAATATCTGGATGTCACAGAAGAGCCTTGGTTGAGTCTCGATGGTGGGCGAAACTCTGTGTCTCCACTAGAGGTTTTTGTTTATTTGGTTTTTGTTTATTTGGGGATTTGGTTTGGGTGGGTTTTTCTGTCTCTTTGTTTGTTTGTTGTTGGCTTTTTTGAGATAAGGTTTCATGTGCCCCAGGTTGCTCTCAAATTCACAAAGTAGCTAAGGGTAGTCTTGAACTCTTGATCCTCCAGCTTCCTCCTCTCATTCACTAGTTTTAATGAGTTCCGTTTCATATAAAAGGGATTTGATAAGCTTTCCCTTCAAAAACTATAGGTCCTTTACATCTGTGAGTGATTACAATTCCATAATGCTATAGGTGTTCCATCTTTTTGTGTTAGCCTTGGCCTTTAAGGCTGCACTATCCCTCCAGCCCTAGGTGTTCCATCTTTTTAAAGCAAGCCTCCAAAATTTTAGTAACTTTCCTAATTAACCATCCTTGGACACATGATCCCCGCTGAGAGAAAGCAATCATTACAAAGCCACATGTGTCTTGCCTCGGCTTTCTTTGATATGTTCTACCTCTGAGAGATGCTTCTATTTTAAGAGTCCAAACAAGAAAAGGACAAGTAAGTTGCTGTTTCTGTGGACACAAGGCTACAGGGACAGCATTGAGAGGCAGGCTGAGAGGGTGTTTTTTGGTGAAACTGCTAAAATGACAGCTCATCGCTGCTTTTTTAAAAGAACAGTGGCTGGCATTCCCTGTCCTTGGCTGGTTACTGTCCCTAGGAGGCTGTTTTCTTCCCTCCATGTGTATTTTCCAGGCAAGGATGAGTGGCTCAGTGAGTGACCTCAACTGGAAGTCTTTGCCCTGACTCAGGGCTTCAGCTCCCTCCCCAGGCCCTCCACCCACTGGGGAAGCCAGGCCTGCTGATTAACCAAAGCACAGCAGTCTTTGGACCCCTCCCTGTGCAGACATGGAAGGCGCAGGACTGATGCCTCTGTAGGAATAAAGGAATGGCTGTTGAGACTGGTCAGCTCTCAATGAGCCTTTTGTGCAAATAAATTCCAGAGGTTTCATGACAGATGACTGCAGGGTGGGCTTCCCCAACCCCATAGTTATGGTCAAAAGGTTGCTGTTTCAGTCAGCCTGGCATTCTTCCAGAAAACTCTTGGCTATATGCAATATGGATTTCAGACTCAGCAATCAGTGAACTTAGCAGACTGGGGAAAAGGAGGTAGAAAAAGGCCAATGAAAAACCAAGAGGCTCTCATTTTTAATGAGTAAAAATCTTTCTCCCATAACCCCTTGGTGACAAAATAGTTCAAGACTCAAAAAAAACTTGAGCCGGCATGGATGGAGCTCCACTACAGGTATTAACCCTACGATTAGAAGATGAGCATCGGTTATATGAAGAACCAATAACAGGGACTCCTG